AAGGGTGGCTATAAATCACGGATTTATAGGGACGGCTGGCCAACTACCCCTACAAATTAAATTTGTAAGGACGACTCATTATTTTTATGAGCTGTTTGATATTGAGCCGCTCCTACAGATCATTTTCCATAAATTCACGAATCCGGGTAAAAAAATATATATTTTTTTTAATCCAGAGGCCCCGACCATTCAGCCACACATCGCTCGCAAGCCGCAAGTCACACATTTGTTCGTGTAATAAAATCACGTGCTACGCAGCTGCCAGGGTTCGAACAGGTGACCTCGTGATCACACGTTCCCTCCTCTAACTACTCCACCAAATACCCACTTGTGTCTATATTGGATTTTGGCTCCCCACGTATTATCCTAAATCGAGCATAAATTGATTGTTTGAGGCCCTAAACGAATTCAAATGAAAATTTTGTTAACTACAAAGTTTCATAAATTTTTGATATCTACAACTTTCATTTTGGTAGTATCTCTATCCGAGGCCGTTTACAAAATTTGAATTTCGAATTTGAGAAATTCAAACGTAGTTTTCCATGGCAAGATGATTTCAAATCAAAAGGTTGTCAATTACATGGTTTTATAACTTTTCGATATTTACAACTTTTGTTTTTGTTATTTGTCCATCCGAGGTCGTTTAAGAAAAATCAAATTTTGAAATTTTGAAATTTTAAATGTAGTTTTCGTTGACAAGATGATTTAAAATGAAAAAGTTGGCAATTACAAAGTTTCATAATTTTTTGAGATTTACAACTTTTATTTTGGTTGCTTCTCCATCCGAAGTCGTTTGAATAATCCAAATTTCAAATTTGAGAAATTCAAACGTAGTTTTGCTTGACAAAATGAATTCGAATGAAAAAGTTGTCAACAACAAAGTTCTATAACTTTTCGAGATCTATAACTTTTGCTTTGGTCATTTGATCATTAGGGAAATATATCAAAAAAGTCAAATTTGGCCCAAATTTTAAAATTGAGTTTTAAATGATGTATTATAGCACCACAAAAAAACTGGGTTCAAAAAACCAGAAAAATTAATCTTTGCCGAGGACCTAACTGGCCCTCGGCAAAGGGGGTCTTTGCCGAGGGCCTGGTCAATGGCCCTCGACAAAGAATAATTAAAAAAAAATCTTTGCCGAGGGCCTAGCCTGGCCCTCGGCAAAGAATATTTAAAAAAAAAAATCTTTGCCGAGTGCCTGACGGCGGATACTCGGCAAAGACTGACGCCAGTGGCCACCATGACCCATCCGGCCATATTTGCCGAGGGTCAATTTGCCGAGGGCTAGGCCCTCGGCAAAGATTTATTTTGCCGAGGGTCAGGCCCTCGGCAAAGGCCTCTTTGCCGAGGGCCTAGATTTGCCGAGGGCTCTTGGGGCTGGCCCTCGGCAAAGACCCCATTTGCCGAGTGCCCGAGATCTAGCCCTCGGCAAGCCCAGAAGTCCTCGGCAAAGAGGCCGTCTCGAGTTGTGCGAGCCATGCCGTGGGGCACGCAGGCATCGGCATAAGGAAGACTAGCGAAGGAAGAAGAGAAAGAAAGACCCGTGAGGAGATGAGGGAAAATAGAAGAAAAGAAAAGCAAAGGGTATTGTAGTTATTTTATTTGTTTTGTCATCATGAGTCTGAGCTGTTTTACCAAAACGGGGCCATAGTCTCATGCCTTGCCGTACCACCCGTACCCGGTGGTTGTAGATATGGCGGCATATCTCACGTATATGCTCTTTCGATAGGACAGCATCGATTGATCCAGTGATGTGCAACGCGAAGATAGAGATTACAACAGAGCTTTTCTAGCTCCCTTCTCAGTCGTTGAGCATACATATGTAAGCAGCAAGTGCATGTACGTTGAAGGACTGATGATAGATATAAGCCGCAGGATCGGAATAGAATTAATACGAACCCAGAAGGGCAGCAGGTTCATAATCCCACTGTAATCACCAGGCCAGTGACCATCTTCAGCCTGGAGAGCAGACATCCAACCGAGCGCTCGTCTCAGCGACTCCTGCAGAATTTCTTCCGTCACCTCGTCGCCATCCTCTAGCTTAGTGGCCGCGGGCATATCCGCGCGCAGATGCTTTTCTCCAGTGAGCTGCTTATATATAACAGGAGTAAATGACACACGCGCGTCGTACATGGTGAGCTCGACAACAGCCCGCGGGCATATATCTATGTATAATATACCTGCATGCGCATGAGTAGATCCTGCGATTCCCTCCTTCGGAAGCGGTTCTCCGTGAACTCCCGGCGAAGCAGCTCCACCTTGGCGAGCTCCTCGTCGGTTCCGGCGTCAGGGTCGAACTCCCACACCTGCCGGCCATGGAACTCGCTCACCGTCTGTATCCATGGCCCTCCTCCTTCTGAGATCTTTAGCCTCCACATACTATGCTGGTCGCCGCTCGCGCCGCCTCTCCAGCAAGTTCAATATATGAAGTCTTCTGCAGCAGCTATAGCTAAGCTAGCTTCAAAGGTGGACGGAGTCGTAGTGTTGGCCGGAACTCATGGTTGGGCATGCATATATAGCAAGTTATTAACTTTTCCTTCTCATCATTCAGCTGTATGAGCATTGCCCTCAAAAACATAACCAAAGAAAAATTGTATGTATGAGTATTAATTAGCCATGGGCCCTATAACTATTAATAATTAATAATTCTGTCAGTTTGATATTGATCGAGAACAAGAGGCGCAGTCATAGCCATATATATACACATGTGCATGCAGAAGCTTGTATCTCTTTCAGTCTTTCTCATCAATTCTGCCAGCGAGACCAATCAATACAGCCCAGCCCAATCATGGAGAAACCCCGCCTGCAGTGCGACACCGCCTGGTCGCTGACACGCGTCATGGGAAACATCCCGCACGAGAAGGGAATCAGCAGGCTGCAGAGAGCGTCCGATCCACACGACACTGAGAGCCAAGCCCTCAGCCGTGAGCAGCGATCAAGCCGGCCGGCCACTCCTTCCGCCGTCTCGCAGAGCCGAGACCTGAGCCGCTGAGCACAACAACGTAACAACCATCAGTATCGAACCACTTTGGTAATCCTGCCGCCAGTAGTTTTTTCGTTTTTCCATGGATGGAGTATACTAGTAGATGGCGCACGCTATTGCCCACTTAAATATTGATGTCATCTCCACTTCTCACACTACTACAGAAACGTTTAGCAATGATGGCTCCAAATGGTTCGTAGGGTTGATTTTGCTAGCTGCTCCTATCGAAGGGTGGCTATAAATCACGGATTTATAGGGACGGCTGGCCAACTACCCCTACAAATTAAATTTGTAAGGACGACTCATTATTTTTATGAGCTGTTTGATATTGAGCCGCTCCTACAGATCATTTTCCATAAATTCACGAATCCGGGTAAAAAAAATATATTTTTTTTAATCCAGAGGCCCCGACCATTCAGCCACACATCGCTCGCAAGCCGCAAGTCACACATTTGTTCGTGTAATAAAATCACGTGCTACGCAGCTGCCAGGGTTCGAACAGGTGACCTCGTGATCACGCGTTCCCTCCTCTAACTACTCCACCAAATACCCACTTGTGTCTATATTGGATTTTGGCTCCCCACGTATTATCCTAAATCGAGCATAAATTGATTGTTTGAAGCCCTAAACGAATTCAAATGAAAATTTTGTTAACTACAAAGTTTCATAAATTTTTGATATCTACAACTTTCATTTTGGTAGTATCTCTATCCGAGGCCGTTTACAAAATTTGAATTTCGAATTTGAGAAATTCAAACGTAGTTTTCCATGGCAAGATGATTTCAAATCAAAAGGTTGTCAATTACATGGTTTTATAACTTTTCGATATTTACAACTTTTGTTTTTGTTATTTGTCCATCCGAGGTCGTTTAAAAAAAATCAAATTTCAAAATTTTGAAATTTTAAATGTAGTTTTCGTTGACAAGATGATTTTAAATGAAAAAGTTGGCAATTACAAAGTTTCATAATTTTTTGAGATTTACAACTTTTATTTTGGTTGCTTCTCCATCCGAAGTCGTTTGAATAATCCAAATTTCAAATTTGAGAAATTCAAACGTAGTTTTGCTTGACAAAATGAATTCGAATGAAAAAGTTGTCAACAACAAAGTTCTATAACTTTTCGAGATCTATAACTTTTGCTTTGGTCATTTGATCATTAGGGAAATATATCAAAAAAGTCAAATTTGGCCCAAATTTTAAAATTGAGTTTTAAATAATGTATTATAGCACCACAAAAAAACTGGGTTCAAAAAACCAAAAAAATTAATCTTTGCCGATGACCTAACTGGCCCTCGGCAAAGGGGGTCTTTGCCGAGGGCCTGGTCAATGGCCCTCGACAAAGAATAATTAAAAAAAAATCTTTGCCGAGGGCCTAGCCTGGCCCTCGGCAAAGAATATTTAAAAAAAAATCTTTGCCGAGTGCCTGACGGCGGGTACTCGGCAAAGACTGACGCCAGTGGCCGCCATGACCCATCCGGCCATATTTGCCGAGGGTCAATTTGCCGAGGGCTAGGCCCTCGGCAAAGATTTATTTTGCCGAGGGTCATTTCTTTGCCGAGGGTCAGTTCCTCGGCAAAGGCCTCTTTGCCGAGGGTCTAGATTTGCCGAGGGCTCTTGGGGCTGGCCCTCGGCAAAGACCCCATTTGCCGAGTGCCCGAGATCTAGCCCTCGGCAAGCCCAGAAGTCCTCGGCAAAGAGGCCGTCTCGAGTTGTGCGAGCCATGCCGTGGGGCACGCAGGCATCGGCATAAGGAAGACTAGCGAAGGAAGAAGAGAAAGAAAGACCCGTGAGGAGATGAGGGAAAATAGAAGAAAAGAAAAGCAAAGGGTATTGTAGTTATTTTATTTGTTTTGTCATCATGAGTCTGAGCTGTTTTACCAAAACGGGGCCATAGTCTCATGCCTTGCCGTACCACCCGTACCCGGTGGTTGTAGATATGGCGGCATATCTCACGTATATGCTCTTTCGATAGGACAGCATCGATTGATCCAGTGATGTGCAACGCGAAGATAGAGATTACAACAGAGCTTTTCTAGCTCCCTTCTCAGTCGTTGAGCATACATATGTAAGCAGCAAGTGCATGTACGTTGAAGGACTGATGATAGATATAAGCCGCAGGATCGGAATAGAATTAATACGAACCCAGAAGGGCAGCAGGTTCATAATCCCACTGTAATCACCAGGCCAGTGACCATCTTCAGCCTGGAGAGCAGACATCCAACCGAGCGCTCGTCTCAGCGACTCCTGCAGAATTTCTTCCGTCACCTCGTCGCCATCCTCTAGCTTAGTGGCCGCGGGCATATCCGCGCGCAGATGCTTTTCTCCAGTGAGCTGCTTATATATAACAGGAGTAAATGACACACGCGCGTCGTACATGGTGAGCTCGACAACAGCCCGCGGGCATATATCTATGTATAATATACCTGCATGCGCATGAGTAGATCCTGCGATTCCCTCCTTCGGAAGCGGTTCTCCGTGAACTCCCGGCGAAGCAGCTCCACCTTGGCGAGCTCCTCGTCGGTTCCGGCGTCAGGGTCGAACTCCCACACCTGCCGGCCATGGAACTCGCTCACCGTCTGTATCCATGGCCCTCCTCCTTCTGAGATCTTTAGCCTCCACATACTATGCTGGTCGCCGCTCGCGCCGCCTCTCCAGCAAGTTCAATATATGAAGTCTTCTGCAGCAGCTATAGCTAAGCTAGCTTCAAAGGTGGACGGAGTCGTAGTGTTGGCCGGAACTCATGGTTGGGCATGCATATATAGCAAGTTATTAACTTTTCCTTCTCATCATTCAGCTGTATGAGCATTGCCCTCAAAAAACATAACCAAAGAAAAATTGTATGTATGAGTATTAATTAGCCATGGGCCCTATAACTATTAATAATTAATAATTCTGTCAGTTTGATATTGATCGAGAACAAGAGGCGCAGTCATAGCCATATATATACACATGTGCATGCAGAAGCTTGTATCTCTTTCAGTCTTTCTCATCAATTCTGCCAGCGAGACCAATCAATACAGCCCAGCCCAATCATGGAGAAACCCTGCCTGCAGTGCGACACCGCCTGGTCGCTGACACGCGTCATGGGAAACATCCCGCACGAGAAGGGAATCAGCAGGCTGCAGAGAGCGTCCGATCCACACGACACTGAGAGCCAAGCCCTCAGCCGTGAGCAGCGATCAAGCCGGCCGGCCACTCCTTCCGCCGTCTCGCAGAGCCGAGACCTGAGCCGCTGAGCACAACAACGTAACAACCATCAGTATCGAACCACTTTGGTAATCCTGCCGCCAGTAGTTTTTTTTCGTTTTCCATGGATGGAGTATACTAGTAGATGGCGCACGCTATTGCCCACTTAAATATTGATGTCATCTCCACTTCTCACACTACTACAGAAACGTTTAGCAATGATGGCTCCAAATGGTTCGTAGGGTTGATTTTGCTAGCTGCTCCTATCGAAGGGTGGCTATAAATCACGGATTTATAGGGACGGCTGGCCAACTACCCCTACAAATTAAATTTGTAAGGACGACTCATTATTTTTATGAGCTGTTTGATATTGAGTCGCCCTATGCATCATTTTCCATAAATTCACGAATCCGGGTAAAAAAAATATATTTTTTTAATCCAGAGGCCCCACCATTCAGCCACACACACATCGTCGCAGAAGTCGCAAGTCACACATTTGTTCGTGTAATAAAATCACGTGTTACTACGCAGCTGCCTGTGGTTCGAACAGGTGACCTCGTGATCACGCTGTTCCTCCTCTAACTACTCCACCAAATACCCACTTGTGTCTATATTGGATTTTGGCTCCCCACGTATTATCCTAAATCGAGCATAAATTGATTGTTTGAGGCCCTAAATGAATTCAAATGAAAATTTTGTTAACTACAAAGTTTCATAAATTTTTGATATCTACAACTTTCATTTTGGTAGTATCTCTATCCGAGACCGTTTACAAAATTTGAATTTCGAATTTGAGAAATTCAAACGTAGTTTTTCATGGCAAGATGATTTCAAATCAAAAGGTTGTCAATTACATGGTTTTATAACTTTTCGATATTTACAACTTTTGTTTTTGTTATTTGTCCATCCGAGGTCGTTTAAAAAAAATCAAATTTCAAAATTTTGAAATTTTAAATGTAGTTTTCGTTGACAAGATGATTTTAAATGAAAAAGTTGGCAATTACAAAGTTTCATAATTTTTTGAGATCTACAACTTTTATTTTGGTTGCTTCTCCATCCGAAGTTGTTTGAATAATCCAAATTTCAAATTTGAGAAATTCAAACGTAGTTTTGCTTGACAAAATGAATTCGAATGAAAAAGTTGTCAACAACAAAGTTCTATAACTTTTCGAGATCTATAACTTTTGCTTTGGTCATTTGATCATTTATTTATTCGACATAGTGGTAGTAACATTGTTCACAAAATTTACATATCCATTTATAATTTATGAAACTATAAGAGAGATATGTACATTTTATGAACAATGTTACTACCACTTTGTCATATGAAGAAATGACCAAAATAAAAGCTATAGATCTTAATGAGTTCTACAACTTTGTAGTTTATGACTTTTTCAGCTGAAATCATTTAATATTTCAAAATAACGTTTAAAGTTACCATTTTTTGAAATTTAAAATTCAACTAGATAAAACACAGTCACATGAAAAAATGGATAAAATAATAGCTATAAGAATACAATAAGTTGATAGAGCATCATTTTAGAAAATTTTAGGTAAAAAAATCATCAAATTTGAAGTTAGTATGAGAGACAAAGATTAGTTACAAGTTTTAACCAAAAATTAAAAAGAGAAATCAAAGTTTTTTACCTTTTCAAAAATAAATTTCAAACAGTATTTTGAAGCAGTAAATTATTTCAAATGAAAAAGTTGTAAATAGCAAAGTTCCATAACTTTCCGAGATCTACAACTTTTATTTTGGTCATTTCTCTATCCGAGGCCGTTTGAAGAAATTCGAATTTTTTGTGCTTAATTTTTATTATTCGACATCTATTTGTAGGGACGGCTCAATACTGAGCCGCCCCTATAAATCGGGTCATTTGTAGAGGCGGCTCATAACACCAGCAACCCCTACAAATGGATTTATACGGGTGTCTCATTTGGCCACCATTTGTAGGGGCGGATCAATATAGAGCCGCTCCTAAAAAAAAAGAGGGTGTTGCTTCAAATCGTTTCTGTAGTAGTGTCAAGTTTAGTGCGAGGAGGAAAGTGGAATCCCACGTGTGCTCGCTTGCCTCGCTGGGCCGAACCAACCGGCATGGGGCGAAGGGCGCGAGCCCGGTCCATCTTCCAAAGGCTACTCTAGGATGTCGTCTGTTCGTATTGGGTTTATTAAGGTTTAGGATTTCGTAGCGGCACATACATTCTTATACGAGTTATGATTATACTACCACTTTGGGATGCTCAATTGGATCATCACCAACTTGGGATCACCCTTCACAACTAAGGAATTCAAGGCTTGGGCAAGCGATTGTGGCATCAGCATCGATTATGCATCAGTTGCCCTGCCGCAGTCCAATGGACAAGTAGAGAGAGCCAATGGTCTATTGCTAATTGGGCTAAATCCTCATCTATATGATGAACTCAAGGACTACGACGGCAAGTGGATAGACAAATTACCCAAGGTAGTCAGGGTCTACGCACTCAGCAACGCAGAGCAACAGGGCACTAGCCCTTCTTCCTAGTCTAGGATTCTGAAGCCATTTTACTAGCATATCTAATTTGGAACTCGCTAAGGGTTGAGCAGTACAATGATGGAGAAGCTAACCAAACCAAACGACTAGAAATTGACAGTGTAGAAGAAGCTAGAATGGCAGCTCTGTTTCAGTCGGCTCGATAACTCCAAGGTGTGCGGCAACATTTTGACAAGCACGTATAACCCCGCACGTTCTAGGTCGGAGATTTCGTCTTACGCCGCATTCAGAACACCTTAGGATGCCACAAGCTTCTAAGCCCAGGGAGGGTCCGTTCATTGTTTCCAAGGTTACCCACCTGGGATTATTTGAGCTTGTCACCGCATATGGGGACCCGGTACCTAATTATTGGAACATCAAACAGCTATGAAGATTTTACCCTTAGGAGTTCACTACAGGACAGTGGTAGATTCAGTTTTGCAATTGTAAACTTCTTTATTCAATAAAGAAGATTCTTGTCAGTTGCCAATCAAGCTGTCTACTGCATCCTTCAGTAACTTTGGAAAAAAAAACAAAGGCTCCTACTACTCAGCACAACTCTGTGTTGTCCATATTCTCGGATCTGTAGATAACAAGCTATTACGCTTCTACCTAAGGGATACGATGATTAAGTCACCTAACATCCCTGCGACTAACACTTGTCGCAACTACTATTTGACACATAGCTTTTGAGCTACTTCCTATCAAACCCAACCCAACACGGCTAGGCTCCGTACTCAAGCTGCGAATCATAAGAGGACTGACGCGTCCTTCATGGCATACAAGCCTGTTGAGACGCTTGGTCATCTAGACTCGGACAGACTCGTCCTTAGTGGTAATCAAGCCCTTCAAGACACCTGGTCATTCACGTCCACCCGGACAGACTCATCCTTAGCGGCAATCAAGCCCTTTGACATGCTTGGTCGACTACATCTACCCCTTAGTGCCTATCATTGCACTCGGACAGACTCGTGCTTAGCATCAATCAAGCCCTTCGAGATGCCTGGTCACTCATGTCCACCCCTTAGTGCCTGTCATGGCACTTAGACTGCCTCGTCCTTTGCGGCAATCATGCCCTTCAAGACGCTTCAACTACGTCCATCTAACAAATGTTCTTGAACCTATTTGTCTCTGCGAGGCTGGGATAACCTAGGGCGTAGCAATGGCGTCTTCCTCTCCTGAGTCGGCGCAGGCCCTCACCGTCGCCCCCATGGCTCCTCCCTCTGAGCTCAGGACCCATGGATCTCTCCAGTCCGAACTTCAGGCCTGGGTAGGTGGTTGAAGCAGAGATTCTCTGAAAGTATGGTCTCTCGGTTTGTCCTCATCCCTTTTCCTCAACCTCCGAATTCTTCCTTGTTCTCTCCTTTGGTCGCTGCAAATTTAGGCTTTCTGAGACCTCGACGGCCATCATTATGCAATCTATCATCAGTGGCTCTGCTTCTGGTTTCAACATTCGCTCTCTTGGTGATCGTGTTTTTCGTTTTTCTATCTCTTGTCAGCAAGTGGGTTTTCACATCTACAACTTGCGTTCTTTTGAATGCCAAAGCTTCAAGATCTTGTTCAACCTCTGGCATGGAGGTGGTCCAAACTATGCCGCTGAATTCCGTAGATGGGAAGCAGAGGAGCAAGCACAATGGACAGATGTTGCCTATCGAAAGCGGCCACCAACGGTACATCCCACCCCTCTTACCGGAGCTAACTCCATTCAGGTGTCGAGTTCTGGCCATGGTGCCTGATTTCAAATTTCAAATGTCGTTAAACCTGCCCGTCAATCTGTTCACAATCGCCTTAATTTTGGCGTGGGACTTTCGGCAATCAATAAACCTGGAAGTCTTTCAGGGATTCAAAATTCTAATAGCATTTTGGGCCCGGTACCATCTGTTCAAGCTTCTGGGTCGAGTATCCCCTTTTGTTCTCGCTGCCTAGCCCAGGATCACTGTGGCCCAGTTGTCCCAACCGCATTCGTTGCCGGGTTTGTTTTTGTTATGGGAATTCCTTTGACAACTGCCGTTTGTCGCTTCGATTACCGCACCCCACCTTGTAGCAACATCCCCGTAATGCCGCGCCATTGAGGGATCGCCGTATTTCTCTACCAATGACTAGTGGGCCCAAGACGGTGATTCCGCCACGACGCTTCGTTTCCTTTGGTGAAGATTTCTTTCACCAAACTGGCATTACTCCCCCACCCCTGTTACTATTCCTTGGTCCTGTTCCTAGAGACTTGCGGCTCTAGAGTTCCCTGACGGTGACGACGACAAGGCGGCTGAGGAGGTTGTCACAGCTGCCGTCGTCTCGTCACCGCCGCCTACGCAAACCACCGCGATCACATTCTCTAGCTTCGGTGAGTTTGCTCACTCTGTTCTTGGCTTTCGATCACCCTCCATTTGTCACATTTTCTAGGAGGAGAAAACCCCGATTGCTACAATGGCTCTTACCTCCTCTCAGCAGAGCGAGATGGCTTTTCGCTTCATCGACCCCGCACCATTGATGGTAGTTGGTGCCCAAAGGCAGATGATCAACGGTCGACCCCTGATGAGAAGGGTGGTGGTCGGTCATGTCACGGAGCAGAACAACGACCTGGACATTGCCATTCTGAATCCTTTGCCTCAAGGTCCAATCAACTTTCTGGACATCCGTAGCATTCTGGAAGATTTTCTGCACAATCATGTGAATGTAGGTTATCGGGGAATGCAGCCCTGCCCTCATGGACAAGCTTTCATCCGCTTCAACTACTTGCTTGAAAGAGACCTTCTCATTCAGAATAGCCCTCATCAGTACGGTAATGATACAATCTCTTTCATCCCACATAATCAAGCTTGGAATAACAGAACAACAATCATGACACATGAGGTTTCGCTGATGTTGCTGGGTTTAGATTTGGATTTGTGGACTCAGCCATTGTTGGAAAAAGCTGTCTGCTCTTTTGGACAGTTAATGATTTGGGAGGAGGATTTATTTTTTTCAGTCAAGAGCAATTGTCAAAGTCAGTGTTTCAGCTCTAGATGAAATTCCTTGGTTCTTTGTCTTTACAGAGGGTACTAACTTTGAGTCCCATAGTTGGACTGTGCAATGTGAGGTTCTTCACACTCAGATGTTGGGTCAGGCACCACAGGATGAAGATCTGCCTCCTGATGATGATGATTTCGACCCCAATGCCTTCTTCTACCATGGTTTTGGTCAATTTGGTCAGGGACCACCACCACCTCCACCTGCTGCCCCACAAGCACCCTTCATCCTGGAGCACCTTCAAGCCATGGGCTAGAATGCATGGCCTCATCAGCCTGTGCAAGGTCAGGACAATCAGAATGGTGAGATTGTGCCAAACCTGATCCTAATTCATCCAGAGGCTCCACTTGAAGCACCAGTGGTTGAAGCACCAGAGCCTGACCCCCTACCTGCTGTGGAAGAAGTTTTGCAAGCCCAACCTCAGAACATTGAGCCAATTGAAGAAGCCAATGTTGATCAGGGAGAAGTTCTTGCCATGGATGATGTGACTGATTCTGATGATGAATTTCTTCAGCCTCCTGCTCCTCTTGTTCAATCTGAAGTACAAGTGAACATCTCGGTTGTTCAGAACCCACAGGCCTGGATTGTGGATGAAGTGCCTCTAGAAGACCTGGTGCCTTTTGATGATTTGGTTCCCCAACCTCCTCCACAAGCTGGCCAAGATTTGAACCATATTTAGTTGGGCTTCATGGAGACATTTATTCCACCAGTGGACCCATCTCAGCTTATGGCCTCTTCATCCAAAGGCCCAAGTGCAGCTGCTGTTAGGTGTTGGGCCAAATACTTCTCCCCAATTGACAGGTCCAAGCCAACTGTTACAATCCCAACTGAATGGATGGACTTTTTCTCCCTATTGCTCCTAAAGCCTGGTTCCTTTGAATGGGCCAAAGACTTCCTGACATCTCCAGCTTGGGCTGCTCTTTCCAAGATGTCCACTGGTAACTCCTACCTCTTTTTTCTCCCTAAGTCTTCTCCTTCTGTTGTTATCTCTGATTACTCATGCTCTGAACCCCCTGAGCCTTTCTGTCTTGATATAGAGGAGATTGATGAGGCAGATGGCAGTGAGAAAGAACCTGCTGAAGAATCTGCTACTGCAGAAAAGGAAAACAGGCTAGCTGGCAAGCAACCCATGAACACTACCCAGACTGAGCAAGGGGTTGTGACTCCCCCACCTTCCACTATAGCTGTTTCAACCCCGAGAGCCAAGCGTGGTAAGGCTCCTATCATCTTTGATGCTTTATTAAGAAGAAGTGAACAGGTGCACAATAACACTAAAGGTTTTAAAAGCCCAAGCTATAAAGATAGGGATTGTCTTGGTTGTTCTTCTGACCACCAACCCTTTCTGCTTCTGTAGTCAGAGACTTGGGTGCCTCCTTCTGCAAGCTTGATCCTGTTTCGCTGACTGAAGAGAGTCTGAATGCCAAGCCACCAAAGAAGAAGCCTGTAAGCAAGCCCAAAGCCAAGAAGGCCAAGAAGGCCAAGAAGGATGGGGCAGATGCTGATGGAGCTAGACCTTCCAACACCAAGAAGAAATGATCGACCTGTGTTGGTCTTAGCTTTTGTCTTAGTTATCTAAGATATCTTCTTTTGCTTTTCATACCTTGTTATCAACTCTCATAAGGATGGGGCAGATGTAAAATTTTGGAAAGTCCTTAGCTGGAATGTTCGTGGTATCAACTCTCATAAGAAATGGAACTCTATCAGAGACCGAATTTCTGAGAATAATTGTGATGTGGTGTGCTTGCAAGAAACAAAGCACAGTCATTTTGATATCTCCTTCATTCGAAATTTTTGTTCTTATCAGTATGATTGCTTTGAATACCTTCCCTCTAATGGTGCCTCTGGGGGCTCCATCATCATTTGGAAGAGCTCAGTTTTCAATGGCGCCCTCATTTTTCAGAATGTTTATGCATCCTCTGTCCTTCTTACTTCTGTGCACAATAATGCTTCCTGGATCTTAACTAATATTTATGCACCTTGTACTCCTTTGGGGAAAAAAGATTTTGTTCAATGGTTTCAGGATATTCAAATGCCAGATGGGGTTGATTGGTTACTGGTTGGTGATTTCAACCTCTACAGGAATCCTGAAGGTAGGAGCAGACATTTCTGAAATGTTAATGTTTAATGAGGCCATTAGTGCTTTAGGCCTAGTTGAGTTACCTTTGATAGGCCAGCGTTATACTTGGACCAATAAGCAGCACCCTCCTCACTTGGAGAGACTTGACTGGTTTTTCACTTTTACTAGTTGGACCCTTTCTTACCCTAACACCTCGGTGTCCACTCTTGTTATGGAAACCTCTAACCATGTTCCATGCTTGATCTCTATTTCAACAGATATTGCTAAAAGCTCTATTTTTAGATTTGAGAACTTTTGGCTTCAACATGATGATTTCCTCAATCAGGTTCAGTTGGGTTGGCACTCCCCTTACTTTTGTTCTGATGCTGCTAGAAACATAACTACTAAGTTCAAGAATCTTAGGAAGGTCTTGAAGGCTTGGAATCAAACTATTTCGAGCCTAAAAGATAACATCAAGAATGTTAAGCTCATCATTTGTTTTTTGAATCTCCTTGAAGAAGAAGTCTTCCAGAGTGGAATCTTAGGAAACTTTTGGAAGCCAAGCTTGTTTCTTTGCTGCAACAGCAAAAAGCTTATTGGAAACAGAGAGGTCACATTAAATGGGTTACTCTAGGTGATGCTAGTACCAAGTTCTTTCATGCTCATGCAACTGTTAAATATAGAAAGAATTTTATCACCAACTCATGGATGATCAAGGCAATTTTAGTTCCGATCATAATGAAAAGGCTGAGTTGATTTGGCACTATTTTAAGGAGAGATTGGGAACAACTGATTTCACAGTCTTACATATGATTTGGCTTCCCATTTTGCTAATCCTCCTGATCTTTCCAGCTTGGTTCAACCTTTTACTAAACAGAAGATTGATGCAGTTGTTAAGAATCTTCCTTCCAACAAGGCACCTGGACCTGATGGGTTCAACACTGACTTCATCAAGCATTGCTGGTCAATCATTTCAACAGATTTTTATCAGCTATGTGATGCCTTCTATTCTGGTCCTTTATGTTTGCAAAGCATTAATTCCTCCCACATTACTTTGATTCCAAAGAAAGATGATGCACTCAGAATCTCTGACTACATGCCTATTTCTCTACTGAATACCTCAGTCAAGATTCTAACTAAGCTTTTGGCTAATAGGCTTCAGAATAAGTTGCCAGCACTCCTTCATAAAAACCAATATGGTGTTATTAAGAACAGATCTATTCAAGATTGTGTAGCATGGGCCCTTGAATATCTTCACACCTGTCATCAGACAAAGAAAGAGCTAGTCATTTTAAAGCTGGATTTTGAGAAAGACTTTGACAAAGTAGAGCATGAGTTTATGATACAAATTATGAAGCACAAAGGCCTACCCCACAAGTGGTTACTTTGGATGCAATCTATTTTCCAGTCAGGAACATCATCGGTGCTTCTCAATGGAGTCCTTGGAAAAGTTTTTTATTGTAAAAGGGGTGTTAGGCAAGGTGACCCTCTTTCACCTTCGCTCTTTGTCCTTGCTGCAGATTTTTTATAGACTATTCTCAATACTGCAAGACTTAATAACCAGATCAGCCTCCTAGCGCCTTTGCCTAGTGATGAAGATTTTCTAATTCTGCAATATGCAGATGATACCCTTATCTTCATGAAGGGTGACCTCAATGAGTTGAATAATTTGAAGGATATCCTCTCCACTTATGCCACCTCCACTGGTCTCAGAGTTAACTTTAACAGATCCATGATGATCCCTATTAATGTTTCTGAAGAAAGATTGGAGATCCTTGCTTCAAGCTTTGGCTGTGCAAAAGGTACCCTGCCTTTTACCTACTTAGGGCTGCCTCTCAGTGTCATTAAACCTACTGTAGCTGGCTTCTGGCCTTTGGTTTCAAAGTGTGAAAGGAGATTGGTTGTTTTCACTACTAGAAATATCCACTTCTATGATGAAAATCTTAATGACGAATCCAAAACTGTCATAGAAGATCGCTTTTTATGACGAATATTTCTATTTTGTCATAGATCAGCGATGACGATCCTGCAACCCTCCCTTTCTATGACAAAATTAGGCATCATCACAAAAAATGTCGTATAAGAGCATAGGGTTTCATCACAGATCACTCACGCGACTCATCTGTGATGATCTCCTTTAATACTGTGACGAACAGAGCTTCGTCTTTGAACTAATTACACATCTATGACGAATAATATTCGATCTGTAATGAACGACTTCGTCATCGATCTCCACACGGTACTTTCTCCATCCGACGTGTACCTGTGTGACCTGCAGTTACTCATCCGTGACGCTTGCAATTCGTCATAAAAGTCTCCGCTCGATCCTATCTTCATGCGACGTGTACCTGTGGGACCCTTCTCCATCCAACGTGTTCCTATGGGACCTGCAGTTACTCATCTGTGACACTTGCAATTCATCATAAAAGTCACTGGTCGATCCTATCTCCATGCGACGTGTACCTGCGGGACCCTTCATCATCTAACCTGTGGGACCCGATGACTTACGTGTCACGTGTACCTGTGGGACCGTTCTCCATCTCCATCCGACTTGTGGGACCCGCGGCTTGCGTGTCGCATGTATTTGTGGGACCATCCGACCTGTGGGACTCGACGGCTCACGTGTCACGTGTACCTGTGGGACCTTTCTCCATCTCCATCTGACCTATGGGACCCAACGGCTGACGTGTCACTTGTACCTTTTGTGCCGCCGGGGTATAATAAATTCAAAAAAAACCTCAATGCCTGGGAGTTGAACCCAGGACCTAGAGGAAGTAATGCACGGTCTTTACCATTGCGCTAGATGCCTGGTTGAATTGACATGTCTTTGGAGTCGTTATAGTATTATATTCTCTGTGTGGATGCCCTATACAGTGACCTATATTGGATATTTCCCCTTCAAGTGGAAACAAATATGTGCTCGTTAGACTAGCGGCGGTGGCGACAGAGGATCCCCGGTGTGCTGTGGTGGCTCCGATGTCCTTTTGGAGGCTAGGAGGTAGGGCTTGCCAGTGGAGTGCGGCGGCATTGGCATCCATATCCGTTGTGTGCCGCGGCAGAGGCGACAGATCCGATCCGCAGGTCTCCTTTCTCGTCTTTTCCTGTTAGCTTCACTGTTTTGGTCCTTGCTTGAACATGAGGTATACAAGAAACATTCTAGCGTTGGAGATCTGGTTAGGCCAATGATATGATGATGAAAAGAACTAGGAGGTGGCACTGGTTGGTTTTCTACTGATGTCTTGGTTTTCTACATATGTTCAGTTTTGTTACTGTAAATGTCTCCCATGGAAGAAGCTTTGAGCTCGTGTACTGATTGTTAGTGTGATGGATAGACTTGATTTAGCTAGAATTGTAATGGTTACATCTCCATTAACTACTACTCTTATTTGAGTTATATATATCTATGTGGTGCTACTCTAAATTTGTTTGAGGTCGTATCATGAAAATTGTTAATGGTTGTTAAAGTTGCACTTTGGTTTGAGTTGTGTACTTCACTGTTGGATCTTTGTTGGATTATTTTCCTCTTCAGTGATCTCATTACTGAGCAAGCTCTCATCCTACTGCACATAGATGAAATGGAGGAGGCCCCCAATAAGAGGAACGCACTAGACAGCCTCACGGATGATGCCATTGTCGAGATCCTCCGCTGCCTCCCTGGTCGCTCCTTGTTCTGCTGCAAATGTGTCTGTCGCTCCTGGAACTGCCTCATCAAGGACTACAATAACCATAAGGTGTTGCCCCAGAATGTGGCAGGCTTCTTCTACGACACCGACCAAGGCTATCGATGCTACACCAGTCATCGGTAAACACCTCTCCTTGTCCTTCTTGCCCTTCACCTTGGCCAATGTAGCTGTCTCAGATATCTACAATGGCCTCATCCTATGCTAATGTTGCAATCCGATAACCAAGGAGTTCAAGGAAATGCCGCCTAGCATCCATTCTATTGGTGAGGCTCGATTGGGGTTCGATCGGAAAGCCTCCTCGCACTTTCATGTGATTGAATATATAGAAGAGAAGTAGTTTGATCGGTGCAGGGGTGTGGACATCTACTCATCTAAAACTGCAGCATGGAGCTGTAAGGAATCTAAATGGGACAGGAATACTTCTGTGACAATTGAGAAATTAGATAGGTGATCATCAGAAAATGTGTATCTTAACGGTTGTCTGCACATTATGGGGTACTTGTGGGGCAGTTAGATACTTGCTGTGGATATAGAGGGAGAGACATGGAGGAAAATTCCTTGCCCACATGGTTCTGCAGGTTCCATCCATCAAGCTCAGGGTCAATTATGTGTATGTACTGTTCGTGGTCACGATATGCCCAAGCTTAACATCTGGACATTGAAGTATACTGTCCGCACTCTGGACGTGTTTGTGGAGACTAACATTGAATTTGGTTACTGGGATGTTGATCAGTACTACTCAATGGTTCACCCAGAATGGAATTTGCTTCTCTTTGTTGGGGTTGGGGAGGAAAATG